GTCCTCGATATCCGAGGTATATATGATGCAATCCGTCGATCTCTTGGAGAATAAGGTTGGGGTTCTCCAGGGTGAGAAGCCTTGTAACGACCAAAAATTTCAACATAATTTAAACTTTTCAAAACAATTCATTTTAATAACATTATTACAAAAAGGTTTTCAATAAATTATTTATCAGAGTATTCCCAGGTCCATTTCATAAAACATAAACGCGAGGAACGGTACGATCACGCCTTTGCCTTGCCACGGTCTCCTGAAGAACCTGAAAAACATTAAACCACAACTGTAAGCCCGAAAGCTTAGTGAGATACCCCTAAAATACCAACCACATATACGCCCTTCCAGGCCACGACCTTTCGGTCCAAAACATATTGCCTTCCGGCCCATAACATATTGCCTTCCAGCCCATAACATACTGCCTTCCGGCCCATAACATAAAAACGTACATAACATAACAGAACATAGAACAGCCATGCATATTGGGTAAAACTCTAGTCCAAACAACCCTATGTACATAACATTCAATCATATAACAGTTCACAGTCAACAAATCGATCAAACAGATCACATAACATATCATCACCCTAACCAGGATACCAACCTAACCGATCACGAGCATAACATCACCTTACGTCTCAGCCAAAATACTACTTACACACATACGCCTTTCCAGGCCATGACCTTCCGGTCCACATAACATAAAATGCCTTCCGGCCCATATCATAATGCCTTCTGGCCCATATCAAGCAATACCATAACAAACAACTATCCGGATTTCCATCCGATAAAGGGTCGGCCTTGGTGCCGTAGACCCTGTTGATATAGTGAGGATAACTCACCTCGCGATTGCCGATACTCTGAACCGAAGAAGCCAACTCTCGAATCACCAACTCACCGCAAATCCCGAACTAACCATCATCACAAAAATAAACATAAGGTCAATCATACTTCCACTTATCGGGCCAAGACCAAAGTCCCAATCTCACACAAAGTCCAACATTGGCCCAATTTACCAAATTAGGCCCACCTTACCAAATGGGCCTAGATCCAATATCCATAATATTAATTGGGCCCAAAATACTCTAATCATACTTTCCAGACTTGGCCCAAACACCAACAACCCACAAATGGCCCAACACATAAGCCCAAAAGAAAGTCCACAGGAGGAGTACGTTGGGCGTACTCTCCTTGGTACGCTGGGCGTACTGCCATGATCACCAAAAGAAAACGGGGCATTGGCCCGCTATGCGGGGCGTAACTACGAGATCCATAAAGCCTTTCTAACCTCTTAATGGCTTAAGCTCTTAAGCCCAAATTTCAGATCCAAAGGTCAAATATGATTAGAATTCATAAAATCTCAGACTTTATCACTTGGGACGTCCTTAAGCCCTTAATCCAAGGTCTTAACCCATTAAGGCCTATATATCTCATACATGGAATAGCTACAACCCTTGGGACCTCATTTTTATCACTCAAGACCTCTCCAAAGGTCTGAAAGGATAGATAATCTTGACTAAATCGAACTATACCACAAGGTGAGGACTTTTGGGACAAGAATGGGGACAAAGCTTCAAGATACATAGATCTATGCAATATGAAGGTCAAGCAAGAAACTTTATACCTCAAACAAGCCCCAAAGGGTGATATTTCTTCAGATCTACAAGCTCCACACGTTCTTCTTCTTCTTTGACAACTTCCCTTTTCTCCTTCAAGCCTTTCTTTTGCCAACACAAGCTTTTCAAGATCAAACACACCCAAATATGAGAGGATACGAGATCTAGGGTTTCTCTGAGGTTGAAGATGAGCATAAGGAGGCTGAGGGGTGAACCAACATGTTCCTTATATAGTGGCTGACCCTAAAAATAGGGTTTGGGGTTTCTGAGAGTACGTTGGGCGTACCTCCTTGGTACGCTGGGCGTACTCACCCGGCTACTCGCAACCATTCGTCCCATTACGCTAGGCGTACGTCCAGCTTACACTGGGCGTACCCAGCCACCTTCTAAAACCAAAAGCATGCATGCATGCATGGGACCATTTCCCTCTTATTCCACAAAGAACTATAAACAATGATCAACTTCGAAGCACCGCAACTCCTCTAATCTAAACCCACTCTCAAATGACTTTACATTTATACGAGGGTGACGAGAAGCCTAATACTTCTAACACATACACCCGTCCGAAACCTTCTCGGTTAAAGCTCATTTCTCGAAAGGGACCAGAATTACCCTTCCTCTTAAATCTCAGGGACTTATAATTGACCACTCGAAGAATGGGGTGTTACAAGCCTAGTCTTCTAATTCTCTTTCCGTGTAGTTCGCTAAGTTGTCCGGACTGTTCTTGTGTCTCCGTAGGTGTTTAAGCAAATGGGAGATCCGTTTACGGGAGTCGTACTGGGTTCTAAGTTTGTTCACATGACGATGTGATTACTCATAGTCTGGAGCAGTTCTCTGTCCTGAAGTTCATATTAGAATTCATACTTGGTTCACAATCACAATTCCGTGTATACGAGTCGTATATAATTAAGATTGAAAAGGTAGTCGAATAACTGATTCTTCTTTAAGCTCACATCCCATCAGGGAAAAAGAAGTTAAAGTGGAATCATCAATTCTAAACCTGTAGAACCTTGATTATATATCACTCTTATGCATACATTCCTCAGTGATAAATCAATCGTATGAATCCTTGGATTGAACTTGACGTACTGCACGAGTGGTACTTCGGGGATTTCTTCGGAAAGAAAATAACTAAGAGGTACTCCTGGCATGAGTACTTCGGTGTTCTGATATAACGGCTTCACTGGAAAAGCAATCTAGAAGAAAGAGATGTACGTATGAAGCTGATTGTTTCTTGATGATGACATGATTCTGTTAGCACGAAAGATAAGGATTTTGTGAGCGATTCTGGTTGACCCTAGATGTACTTCGATTGTTTAATCAAAGAGTAAGAGTATGTTCTCGAAAGGTTGACCTACATCTTTATGATGCAGTCCTAGTACGGAATGGAAGTATGTTCACGAAGGTTTGACCTACATCCCTATAATGCAGTCCTAGTAATGGGTAGAAGTAAGTTCGTAGAATGGTCTCAAGACGTTTTTCGTTCAAACCGAGGTATCGTGGGTTGGTGAATAACAAGATCCAACCACTGAAAGAGACTTCGAAATGTCTCTGGAGCTAAATTACTATAGTCCAATGACTTGACTAAAGCAGGTTTCAGATAGACTCCAATGAAAGTATGATAAGAGTACTTGATTAAAGAATGACACAGAAGTTAGTCGGCTGTCAATATCTTTGATATTTACGACGTAAAGATTCAGGAAAATGACCTTGTAAAGGTCTTACATCATAACCAGAGAAGATAATTCTTGACAGCATAAGGACCTAACCTAAAGTACTTACAGTACAAGATAATTTCATAGAAAATGCCTCATCGGGCAAAGACAGAAAACGATTACTTTCTAACAAGGGAAGTAAGGTAAAGAATCTACTACTGATGACGGTCACCCCTTTGCCGAACTCTCAATTCAGCAAGTTGAGGTTCCACATCAAGTAAGTGTCTTTCGTACACCCTATGGCGTACTCGGAGCTCTATGACTTCGACTCGTGATTCAGCCAGTGCTTGCAGTAGGGTTTCATGGTTTCTCTCTGATCTCTCGCGAGCATCTTCTAGACGAATGGTGCGGAGGGTATGCATTCTAGCATCGGTGACAACTTCGGTAATCTGATATAGGGCTGTCCTGCCTTGAATCTCATTTCGGGCCACTCTGTGGACCAAGATTGGCAAGATTTTGTATGCTGAGCCCCCATTGCTCAGGTCGTAAAAGCTTCGGTCGCTATTAAATGGCATGGGCTGATCTTGTCCTTGGTTCCATGTTTCCAAGCATTCCACCCACTCAGGGGTCGGGCCATGAAAAGCTGGACGAGGGTTAGGAATTGGAATGGGAGCTGCCTGGGGTAGGTTCTCAACCTCTGGTTCGGAATTGGCACCGTCCGAAGGGTCTTCATCATGGTGATCATTCAAAGGGATCGGATGATCATTCCCTGGTTCTTCTCCAAACCAACCAGCAATGACCTCATTCGGGAGGTACTGGTTGCCGTGGGGATGGAATCCAGCCATGTTATCTACGCGAGAATTGGGGTAAGAAAATAATTATTAGACGAACTATCTAGATAATTATTTAGAAAATCTTCATCAGTTATATCGCTATTTGTGAAGTGCATACCAGTTATATATAATCGAAATAGGATAGGCCTTCGAAATGTATTTATTACAATTTAATATCATATATATGATATTTAATACTTTACATATATAAGTATATGATTTTAATTTTAAAAATCGAAAAAAACCATAAATTTACAAGTGGATAATATTTATTTCAAAAATACCACAAAATAACAAGTATCAAAACTCATGAGAGATTGACATGTAGCAAAAAAAACCTTTATTTATTAAGAATGATTAATTTCTTTTATTTATTTAAATTTAAAAGATAAAAAATATTTTTATTATAATAATTAATTATTATTTTTTATTTTTTTATAAATTCGAAGTTTGTAAATATTTTGATTTTTATATTTAATTTTTTTATTATTATTAAAACCTAATATCCCACATGTTCCATCATCCCTCTCTTCTATAGGGTCTCAAAATTAGTTTGATTTGCAAATTCTTTTTGATTTCCGTATTTTCGCACCATTCCCACATGTTCCATCATCCCTCTGTTCTATAGGGTCTCATCTTTGTTCACCAAATAGTTAAACACCTATGTAATCTAACGAATTTTGGGCATGAAAAAAACATTTTTATATCGCTTTCCTACGTAGCCTAAAAATCTCCACTAAATCGACACTAAAAGGGTGATCAGCATTCCATTTTGGTGCAACTTTAATCATCCGGCAAGGAATGTGATGGCTCGCAAACATCGTTGTCGAACCCAAGCTACCTTGAGTCAAATGTATGTATTGCCTTCTGTACTCTGTTATCTTTAAATTTATCATGTCCCAACAATCTTTTTCAGTTCTTTTGTGGATGACTGTTCTACCTGAACAAGTTAACGTGTGGTAGGTTTACATGCGTGTATTAACTGTTTGATAAAATGCCAGAATGAAGCCTTTCTTTCAGGAGAACTCCAAGTTAACTTGTTAACCTGGTGGGTCTTACGGGTTGAGTTTACCCTTTTTCTAGAAACTTCACTTCCCCAAACTTATGTTAGAAATGTATATACATTGATAAATCATTCAAGTCTTTCTGTAGTTCAATTGTTTCTACAATACTGAAAGTATAGTCAAAGTCTTCTCGGAGTCAACTATGTGAATTTTCATTTCAGTATTCCCTTTTTCCTAAAATGACCCCCTCTCTTTCTTCCTACAGCCACAACTTTAGGATAAAAAAACAGCTTTTGACTGGTTACACAAAGACTATTCCCCTTGTCCCTACCCCAAAACAAATAACTTCAGAATCATCATGTCGAAGAATTTCTTGAAGTGGAGTTTTCGGTTTTAGTTTGTTCATTTTATTTGTGAATTTGTCTTGAAAGCTAGCGTTCTGTGTTTGAAGTTTTTGGCATTTTATATTTCTTGATTTTGTTCAATAACTGATGATGAAACTAGGCTTTTAACCAGCCAGAAATGGATAGAATCCTCCCTGTGATCCTGTATTTATTTATTTTGGGGTTCCATAAAAGGGTTTATGGGAATGCTGAAGGTATGTGCTTTTTTTTTTTTTTTTTCATGATTCTTGATTGCTTCCTTGATTCACGATGTTTTATACTCGTAAATTAAATCCTCATTAATTTGATGTTTCAAAGAAGAGACCATAATCAAAATTCATATATGTAAAACAGTTGATGCATTGAATAGCCTAAAATCAAAGTTAAATGATCCGAAGAATGTTTTGCAAAGTTGGGATTCGGCCCTTCCCACCCCATGTACTTGGTTTCATGTCACTTGCGACCCTGGGAATAAAGTTACTCGAGTGTAAGCTCATCAAACCTCTTTAATCAATATTTAATATTCCCTTTATTCTTTTATTCCATTTTCTACTCTTGCAAATAAATTTCTGTTTTGGTGTTTGTCACACACACACACAGTGATCTTGGAAATGCGGACTTGTCAGGTCCACTGGTTCCGGAGCTTGGTCAACTTAAAAATTTACAGTACTTGTAGGTCAATAGTGTATATTCATTTTCCTTAATTATTAATCATTTTATTTATGATTTTAAACTTACTAATTAATATATGGTCTGGTGATATTAGGGAGCTTTATAGTAATAACATCACTGGAAAAATTCCTGATGAACTTGGGAAGTTAAGACAGTTAGTGAGTTTGGATCTTTATCTTAACCAGTTAGAAGGTGGCATTCCCAACACATTGGGCAACCTTCAGAAACTTCGTTATCTGTATGTATGATTTTATATCATTTAGATTCCTTTTTTTTTTTTTTTTTATGAAATTAAAAAAGCTTGATCCATTTTACTTCATCTTTTGTTAGTTTGATTGTCTCAAGAATCAAAGTGTTGTTTCTGTGTTTTTGTGCAAGGATAGTCGTCTGAATAACAACGGTTTGATGGGAACTATTCCAAATTCTTTAACTACTATAGACAAACTAGAAATTCTGTAAGTATATAAATATATCATTCAATTATGATTTACAGTTATTGAAACAAAGCTAAAATTGTTTGTTTTTTTATTATATGTCACAGTGATCTATCCAACAACTTTTTGAATGGAGCTGTCCCTTACAATGGCTCATTTTCGCGATTCACAACTATTAGGTCTAAATGCTGTTAGTTACATGATTCTTGAAATTATGCCATGAATTCAAGATATAATAATGATATATCATGATTTTGCAAACTTGTGTTCTTTCAGTTTTTTCAATAATCCCAACTTGACATTTGCGAATGATACAACACCGAATGTGACACTGACACCTCCTTCAGGTATTTTCGTTCATTATCATTGTTTTTAAAAAAGTTGAAAAACTTAAATAAATTTATTTTACTTTATATAATACTTTGATAGCACTAATGTGACATCTTTGTCTGGTTTCTTTTCCAAGTAAAATGACTATATTACCCCTGTTTGATTACATTCCTTGTAATTGTATTTCATGTAAATTTCAGTCCGCAAAGACAACACATTAGCGATTGCCGGAGGAGTTGCTGTCGGAGCTGCTATCTTTATTGCAGTTCCGTTGATTGCACTTGCTTGGTGGCGGCGTAGACACCCACAAGATCATTTCTCTGATGTAGCAGGTGATCACTAAAGTTAATAGATTTAATTATCACCTGATTTCGGTTCCTAACAAATTAAAAATAATTCAGTCTTCTTGTAAAATAAAATATCAAAATCTGAACTAATGTGCACAACATTACAAACTATAGGGACCAAAAGTATAAGTCACTCATTTCTTGTAACTTAAAAACTACATGGACCACAAGTGTAATTTCGGAAAATTAAAACTACAGGGACCAGTAATGTAATTTATTCAAACTAAAAATGTCAGGGAGTAATTCCATATAGTTAAAACTATAGGGTCTAAAAGTATCTTTTTCTTATTTCGTTCTTGCAAATTAAAAACTAAACAGACCAAAAGTGTAATTTCAGAAAATTAATACTACAGGGACCAGAAATGTAATTCGTGCAAACTAAAAATTTGAAGGACCAAATATGTAATTCCGAGAAATTAAAACTACAAAGACCAAAAATGTAATTCCACAAAAATAGAACTATAGGGACCAAAAGTATATTTTTCTTGCAAATTAAAAACTACACGGACCAAAAGTGTAATTTCAGAAAATTAATACTACACGGACCAGTGTAATTCGTGCAAACTAAAAACTTGAAGGACCAAATATGTAATTCCGAGAAATTAAAACTATAGGGACCAAAAGTATTTTTTTTCTTCTTTCCTTCTTGCAAATTAAAAAGTACACAGACCAAAAGTGTAATTTCAGAAAATAAAAACTATAAGGACCAAAAATGTAGTTCCGAGAAGTATCTTTTTCTTATTTCCTCCTTGCAAATTAAAAACTACAAGGGCCAAAAGTGTAATTCCAGAAAATTAAAACTACAAGGACCGGAAATGTAGTTCATGCAAACTAAAATCTACAAGGACCAAAAATGTAATTCGGAAAAAGTTAAACATACAGGGACCAAAAGTGTCGTTTGATTATTTTCAGCAAAATAAAAGGTATATAGAATGAATGTCTGGTTTGATTTTTTTTTTTAGCTGGAGAGGATCCGGAAGTTCATCAATTAGGGCAACTGAAGAGGTTTTCTCTACGTGAGCTACAAGTTGCAACGGATGATTTTAGCGACAAAAACATTCTCGGGAAAGGTGCATTTGGTAAAGTTTATAAAGGAAGGTTAGTTGATGGGTCTTTGGTGGCTGTGAAAAGACTGCTGGATCGTGTTCCAGGTGGCGAGTTGCAGTTTCAGACGGAGGTTGAGTTGATAAGTATGGCAGTTCACCGGAATCTACTAAGGCTTCAAGGTTTTTGCATGACACCAACCGAACGTTTGCTTGTTTATCCATTCATGGTCAATGGAAGCGTTGCATCATGTCTAAAAGGTAAGAAATTAAGAAGATCCACTTTGACTTTTTAAGTCAAATACATGACTTTTTAGCTAATTGACAAGTTACTGTATAGATCGACCCGATACAAAACCCGCACTCGATTGGCCAACAAGGAAACGGATCGCACTCGGGTCCGCACGTGGCCTCGCGTATTTACACGATGACTGCGACCCAAAAATCATTCACCGTGATGTAAAAGCTGCAAACATTCTATTAGATGAGGAATTTGAAGCAATAGTTGGAGATTTTGGGTTAGCAAAACTCATGGACTACAAAGACACTCATGTCACAACTGGTGTTCGTGGTACAATCGGACATATAGCCCCGGAGTATATATCCACGGGCAGATCTTCGGAAAAAACGGATGTTTTTGGATATGGTGTGATGCTTTTAGAGCTTATTACTGGGCAACGGGCGTATGATCTTGCACGACTTGCTAATGATGATGAGGTGATGTTGCTTGATTGGGTGAAAGGGCTTTTGGAAGATAGGAAGTTGGAGGTGCTTGTGGATCCGGATTTAGGAGGTGATTTGTTGAATGGAGTTGAGGAGGTGATACGGGTAGCGCTATTGTGCACACGGGCGACACCGTGGGAGAGACCGAAGATGTTTGAAGTGGTTAAGATGCTTGAAGGTGATGACGGGTTGGCGGAGAGGTGGGAGGAGTGGAAGAAAGAGGCGATTCCAAAGAAAGAGGATAGTCAGATACAACAGATTCGGGTTGAGTTTGATTCGGGTTTTAACCCTAGTAATGATCACTTGTCTGGTCCTAGATAATCGACCGTTTGTCCCTTTTTTTGTTGTAAATCTTAGGAGTCTTGAGTTTATGTAGTATTGGGGAATTTTCAAAATACATACAAAAACGCTTGGTCATTTTGTGTATAAGAAAAAGTTTATTTTGTTGTATAAAAAAATTTGGCTGGGTTATTATTATTATTATTATTATTATTATTATTATTATTTTTTATCTTTTTAGATCTTGTACACACGAAAAAGCAGAATTTCTTTTTACTAGTTAACTAAAAGTTCTACGTTTGTATATATTGTCCATATTTCTTCCTTATTTAAGGAATTGTGTTTGTCCGTTGTATGTATATGTTCATGTTATCAATAAAAAGGGTGCGGGGATTTATCCTCGCTAGTTCATGTTATCAATAAATGGTATATCGTCCTCCATATAAGTAATGTCTTCAAATCTTAAGGGAAAAGACCACTACTCCTAACTCTAGATCATGTGTTGGATAATCAGTCTCATAATGCTTCAATTGTCTTGAGGCATAAGTGATTACTCGACCTCGTTGCACGATAACAACTCCAAAACCTATGATTGATGCATCACAATAAACCACCATATCATTCACACCTTCAGGAAGGGTAAATATTGGTGCTTCACATAACTTCTTTCTTAGTATCTCGAATGCTGACTGTTGCTTCGGATCCCAACTAAAAGCAACACCCTTATTCGTCAAACAAGTCATTGGTATTGCAACCTTTGAGAATTCTTGGATAAATATATTAGATTAGGTGTCTAAGCTCATAACTATAATTAGTAGAAATTTGAATTGATAGTAGCACAATACTTTTGGATTACCCTCAAACCTAACATTTAAATAGGATAGCTTATATATATATATATATATATATATATATATATATATATATATATATATATATATATATATATAGAGAGAGAGAGAGAGAGAGAGAAAAGAGAGAGAGAGAGAGAGAGAGAGAGATTGATTAAATGATTTATTAATTTAATATATGGTTAATAAATTAATTAGAAATCAAAAGAAATAATTTGTTAATGTATTATGGGAATAATATATTAATTGGAAATAGTATTATTTAATTAATAATTAATCAAAAATTGATTTGAATTAATTGGGTTAATTAAAAGTAGAAGGACTAAAGGTGACAAAGTTCAATAGTTGAACATTAAACAATTGTAGAACCTCCCATAGAGGGGACGAATTCTAGAAGCCTTCTAGGATTTCCTTGGGCTCTAAGGGTGCCTTGGATGCGTTATGGAGGAAGTAAAGGGATTAGGGTTATCTTGGAGATACATGCCTTATCCAACACCTTCGTATCACCTATATAACCCCCTTTTGGGGTTGAATTTCATCCATGCTTACATTCCTAAGAGGAATTCCGAATTTTGCACTCTCTCTCCTCAAGCTCCTTGTTTGCTAGGGTTTGGGTGTGAACCATTAGAGGCACGACACTTATGGTGCTAGCTGCCAAAGGTTTTTCAAGTAAGGATTCAAGATTGTTTGCAATAACAATCTTTAAGGTTAGTTTTCTTATCTTATGAATTAGTTTGTTCATATGAAATTTTTGTAGATTAGCCACTCTTAGTATATTGATGTATGTGAAAGACATATATCAAACTAGGTTACATGCGCCCTAATTATTTGAATTGTTTGAATAAATTTCCGCTTAGTGTGCATTGTAGATGTAAACCCAAAAACCCATCAGTGGTATCAAAGCCTAGGGTATTTTTTCATGTATTCTCACATTGGTGAATCGATCAAAGAAACATGTTTTGGATTTGTCGCAGCTCACGTCGTGAGCTTGCATGCTCATGTCGTGAGCCCAGGCCAGACCCGAAAAATCGGGTTCTAATATGCCTTAACAGCTTTTATGTGATAAATCATTGCCATATTTTATCCCCAAATCTAATTTTGGTGTATCTAGCATGATAAATTAAAAGCGTAGAAGTTAGGAGATTCGCATTTGACTTGATTAATAGTTTTGTGGTTAATATGATTGATTTTTAAGTGTTTAAATAATTAACTTAAATATTAATGGAACTTAATAATTAATGTCAAATAATTTATAGACTATTATAAACATGGTATTTTGAAAAGTTTAAAATACATCGTTACATATCTTATTAGTAATTTAATTAAGTAATTAACTAAAAGATATTTAATAAATCCATAAAAGGTTTAAATATTACCTGTATTTTTGGGATATTGCAATGCTAAAAGTCAACGACTAATTTTGACTTTAGCCTACCTCCATGTTGTGGCCTTCCTTGGCCACATCGTGGTCCTCATACGATCAACCAGACGAGAATTTCCTAGTCACCACACCGTGACGACCTATAGCCACACCGTGGGTGTTAAGATTCCCAAGAACTTCATGGATTAACCTGTTTCCTTTGATTCCAAGAGCTCCAAAGCTCAGATCTGGTCCACTCTATGGTCTAAATGGATAAAGTTCCCAACTTTATCTATTAAGACACCCAAAGAGATCAAGATCTCAAACCCTAGGTCCAAATAAAGACATAATCCATAATGCCTTAACCATTAAGCCCTAAATCTGAAAAATTCCTTAACCCAACCACTCTAGAAGGGTTTATAATACCAGATCTATGATAATTGTGGAAGCTTTATAGACATGTATGTCCAATACATGTCTAGAACCCATTTTAGGTCAAAATGAGCTCTAAAGACCAAAACTCAAGCAAATGACAAGAACATCTACCAAAGGCTAGATCTACAACATATGAAGCTCTTGGGACTCAGGAGAGTCATAAATTTGCCAACGATATGAGTTCCTTCCTTCCAAACTTGCTCAAAGATGAAGAATATGAGACAATATTCAAGATCTAACCACTTTAAGCTATAAAGCAAGGAACTTGGAACTTACAAAGGTCTAGAGATACCCAAAAAGAGATCTTAAGTTAAGCAAAGAAGCTCCACAATCCTTTCTAATGCCTCTTCTTTCTTCACAAGTAACCAAAGTCACCAAAATGGACTCACAACTCACAATGAGGAATTAGGGTTTGGGTTTCTGAAACTTGAGGGTGATGGAGGCTAATAAGGAACCCTAAAAATGAATTAGAGGGGTTTAAATACGAAGGAAACCCTAAAAGAGTCATGGGCTTGGGCTAGAACAACTACCACACCATGGAAACCTTTGGTCATGCTGTGCCAATCCAATAACATATGTGATCCATTAAACAATTGTCATGTCGTGGCCCTCCTTGGCCACGTCGTGGCACATGATTTCCTCTAAAACGTCATATTTGGTCCCTGATAAAAGTAACCTTAACCAATCTAGAACACGAATGTTACATCAAAATTATGCACAATCAATAGAAAACTAAGGCTCTGATACCACTGATGAGTTTTCTAGGTAATACAAAAAATTCATGTGGCAGAAAAACACTTAAACCCTTAAGTTAACATACAACCTAGAAATGATCTATGTTTTCTCTATTGATAGTAATAAACTACGAATATCAAGAAACCTTACTTTAATCAAAATTACAAGAAGGAATAGAGTAATATACCTTTTGATTAATATAACAATTAATCAATAAAATCTTCCTTTGAGTTCTTGGAAAGCAAGCACCAAAAGTTTGGATGCATCAAATGGCTTGTACCCAAAACCCTAGCAACTAGAAGACTTGAGGAGAGGGGAGACTTAGAGAAAATTTCCTCTCTTGTTGGCTTAGGAAGAGTGGACGAAAACTAGAGACCCCAGGATCCTATTTTTAGATGATAAGGAAGCCTTGGATAACCTTAATTTGAATATAATAATAATATCTTGAATTAGGTAATTATCCAACTCCTTAATTATCCAATAAGTTTAATCTAGAAACCCTAAAACACATAGCCAAAACTGGCCATGCTAAGAGGGTTCTAGACACCCTACTTTGCTCAACTATTGAACAATTACAACTTAGTCCATGAACTTCCATTTAATTATAATTAACTCGAAACTAATTCCAATTAATTTTTGATTAATTTTGAATTAATTATAACTATTTCTAATTAATATATGAATCATATAATATATTAATAAATAATTTATTATTAATTTATTAATCATATAATAAATTAACAAAACAACCTATTTGTAACGTCATAAATTTCAAAACCAATTTTTTCATTTTTACAATCATCAAACATCGAGTAATACATTTAGGTTCCAATGTAACAATTTAGTCACAACCGATTACATAACAAAGATCACAAAATGGTTTCCCCGAGTGTGTGTACGATCACGCCGGCGCCTTCCCACAGTCCTCGCTAGTACCTGAAACACATAACACAACAATTGTAAGCATAAATGCTTAGTGAGTTCCCCAAAATACAACCTACGCACATACGCCTTTCCAGGCCCTGACCTTCCGGTCCATGTGTCTCAGGGGACTTCCATCCCGCCTGGGTAAGCCTTCCGGTCCTACCCCACGTCAACCTTACGGTCCATATTACCACGCCTTCCGGCCCATAACATATTGCCTTCCGGCCCATATCAAGCATATCATACATGGCACATATAACGAATAACTTATTACACATAAGGCATATATCTCATATCATATTCGACCTTCCGGTCACACAGTCAAACCCTTCCGGGTACAGTATAGTGAGAAGACTCACCTCGTATGTCTCGATAACTCGTGAACCCTGGAAATCACTCGTGCTCGAACCCTCGAGCTGTAATCCTCCTATGACATCATGAATCTATAATTATTACTTGTACCACTAAGGTTGACCAT